GTAGCTGTAGGAGTGGCATGCTGACACTTTTGTGCCATAGAGTGTCCCAGCTTTTATTAGGGTCTGTGGCATGAGGAACAGAAGCCCAGTCCATTTTTTCAGTCTAACTGAAAAAAAAAATATTTTTTTCAGGACAAAAATATATTTTTTTACTGGACAAGTAGAAAATGTATTCAGATAGTAGAAAGTTAATCAAATAGTCTTATTGAGAAAACTTAATACAAATGCCTTAGATCATGAATAAAATGCTCTGTTGCTATACTGTTGGGTAAAAGAATGTGGGTAAAAAAACTAGATTTTGTATGATCATATTTCTGATCTTGAAAGTGTGAATTGTTTTGATGAATTGGGCTGTACAAGCAATACAGGCAGAGAAATTCCATATTTATGGACACTGGAAGGCCTTTGCTTATCAGTGCTTCTGATCAGTGCTTGATTGATTAAGCCAAAGTTTAGGGATGTGCAGAACACCTTAAGAAGAGACTGCAGTATGTTGAAGCCCATCTGAAAGAGGTAGTTTCAAGGGCAGCTACAGCATTCACTGCCACACATTACCAAACCTATTATGCTAGGATGCAAGCAGTCTAGGCAAATTTTCTCTTAAAAATTGATTCCCTTTTGGACTAGCAATATTTGGGGAATAGGTATTAGAAATTTTTGTAATCCCATCTTCAAGCATAGGTAGTTTGCCTGGGTTTTTGCTCCTGAAACACTATTTTGGATTTATACTTTAGTGAATAACAGTTATGATCAATAGTCCCACTGAATCAAGAGAGATGAATCTGTATTTAAAGGAATAGGAGTAGGAAAAGGAATAGGATTCTCCATTACTTTCCGTGTATCAGGGCAGACAAATCTGTGGCTTTAAATTGTTTTGTCACAGACCAAGGAACAGAACAGGAGTCAGAATCTGCTACTCCAAATTCATTCCCATTTCATACCTTCCATATAAATTTTAATTAATATTTTAAACCACCTAAAGATAAATGAAACAAACCATGTATTTTAAGTAAATAAATGCATACAGTGTGGGAATATACAATTGTCTGTTTTAAGAGGAAGCAGATGTCTCATTGTAGTATGTTATTTTGTTATTTACAGAACAGCTAGCTTGTACCGCAGTATCTCTTCATCTCCAGAATTTCTCTTCCAAGATTATGTATAGGCTCTGCCTTAGTTGTAATATTTTAATTCATCACCACATATTTAGCAAACTCCTTCTTTTATCACTTGATGACAGACAAGATTTTTTTCTCTGACATTTATTGCTTTTTAAACTGTATTTCTGGTTGGGTGCCAGATTTCTCCAAAAATATTGTAAATAAATGTGAGTAATACAGATTTGGATTTATGAAATATAATGGCTGGATGCTCTAGCTGTGAAGAGATGCTTTATCATATTTTCTACCATTATGTTGGGAAACTTTAAGACTTGCTTTCCTGATTTACTTTACCGCAATCTTTTAAGGCTTTAAACCAAGTTGCTTTGAGACTGGAACACAATTATAGTAACCAGTCTGACATGCACACAATGTGAATAAAATACTCTATAATATATAGACATTTTAACACTGATACATTCTACACACATAAAAATAAAGGCACCTTGAAATAAAATTCTTATCTCCCTCACCTCACTTATCTACTAATTGCATATAAACTCACACAATACACTAAAAGATTCCTGTATGTATATCATTAAGGAACATAAAAGAAAGCTTGTTATCTTTTTGCATGCTTATCTGTAAGACTCAGTAATGTTCATATCTGTAAGAATACATACTATATATATGTGTGTATATTCACATATACTTTATATATACAAATATGCCTCCCTTCAAAATCTGAAAGATTAAAACATGAGTGGGGGGACTGTTCGTTATATTTATGTTTTCTGAAATCAGAGATTCTTTAAATGGAACATCCACATTCCTTCCTTCATGAGTGCTGCTTTGTGAAACCATGAAATCAATCCTGCCACCCTTTTGGCTAAATTTGGATTTGAAATGAAAAATTGCCTCTCCTGTAATAGCCATATTCTCTTTCAATCATTATTTCACAACCTTGGATCACTTTTTGTATGGTAGATTAAATGTGCTGGTAACAAAGTTTGAAAACGTAGTGGCTAAGCAAAACCATCACTCTTTTGCATCACATTCCTTACATTTTTGCATAATGATAAGTTGTATGGTTTACCTTGAAGCACATGAATGAATTTTAGGCCTGAAAAGAAAGAATATGACCAGGAAAAAGAAGGGGTGCTTATAATCAGTAGGAAATAATTTCCACCCCTGCATGAGTATCATTCAGTGGCCATATCCCACCTGTTATGTGGGTTTAGTTGACCACTGAGCTTAATACGCTGAGGTCAAAGATGGTTAGTATCAAGGTGGGCTGTGATAGGTTCCGATGTAACCACTGCAGGAATCTGGATTTCTCCCTTTCCTCCCCCAGGGAAGAAGAAAGGACTGCTTATGCTTGCTCCTGTAGTAACAGGTACTGATGTAGTGCTGGCATCTCTTTTCATATAGTTAGAGGCCGTGTGCCATGTTTCAGAGGTAGTGTGGAAATGCAGGCTTCCTGGGATTCTTATCTGCTTTCTATTCTGATCTTCAGTGATTTCCCAGGGTATTCAAATATTGCATAAGAATTCCAAAGAGAGGACTGACCCAGTTCAGAGAGATACCATCGGGGGACATTTCCCAAGTGCCTGTTTCGTGGGGATGGGAAAGGAAGCAGATGTTTTCCATCAACAACTAATGCTGAAGAGCTACTATTACTCCCTCCCTAACCACAAGCTCTAGGCCATAATCATATACTCCCTTCTTCTGCTTCCTGAGACGTAAGAGCAGCATGTAATAATTCAAATTCTGTCTTGTTGACACAGCTTGTTTCAGCTGTTCAGAGAGCAAGTTGTTTGTTCGCTGCATCTGTGGACACATCAGCACTTTGCAGAAAGTCTAAAAGGGGTTGCTGCTTTTTTTTTTTTTTTTGATGGGAGTTGCAATTGCCTGCTGTCATCTGAGCCTCCTGGAAATCTGTGGCAAAGCACTGAAATATCCACATGCAAGGCATTTCTGTCAATGGGGCACTCTTGTTGTTGTTGTGTCATTATTGTTTCTTTTGTTATTTTATTAAGACTCATGAATTTGCCCTGAACAATAAAATAAAGTATATGATATAAAATAATACTTAGATATTTAGGGCAAAACTAGGAATTCCTCCCATTAGGCCTGTATGACTGGTGGGGAATGGCTTGTGGATAGACACCTGGCTTTGATGGAGTGAGAAAAACAAGTGTTCTGATTTAATGTCTTGTAGACACATTGAGCAAATGAGAGGCACAATATTGATCTTAAAATACAGGCATGTATGCAAGAATTTGACAACCTAGAGACTATTAAAGACTAAAATAAAATAAATAAAGGGAAAAATAAAATAAGAAATGAAATAGTGAAATGACATTTGTATTAAAAAAAAAAAAAAAAAGAGAGAGAGAGAGAGCGAGAATAACTGACAATCTGTTGGACCAGAACGGTTCCCTTACCTGAGGGAATAAACAATTATTTTGTTATATAAATCTGTTCAAAGCATCTATTCTTTGAGATTGAGTACTTTTAAAAACATTCTGTTTGGTCAATGTGTATAATAGCTGTTATATATTTCATCTTCTAGAACACAACTGTATATGTACCAAATTGAAAAGTTAAACTATCAGCTCCTCTCCCTTTGCAACCCCATGGAGACCTGTTGTTTCTCTTCAATTATTAAGATATCTGGCATGTTCCAGAGCAGAAAGCTTTCCATTTTTTTCATAGCAAAAGGCTGCATGCCTATACCTGTGATCTAGGCTCCACTAAAGGCCAACGAGTCAAGTTTCACTCTAATTCACAGGCATCTTTGTCTGCAGTATAAGGAAGCAAATCAGGACAATCCTTCCATAGTAAGAGTCCTGAAAACATTTAAGTCAGTAGGAAGGTCATTTAAACTATGAGGAATTTGAAATTAAGGAATGTCATGGGACCGTAAACCCAAAGTAAAGATGAAAGACCCCCCTCCCTGCAGCTGCATTATGTCTCACCCATCCCAATGAACAAGGAAAGATCATTAGTAATTAATGTATTTAGTATAAATCTAAAACTTGCATCTCTGCTGCATGAAAAGGTGAAGAAAAATTATGAGATTAAAGGAAATACAGGAGAGGATGTTTTAATATAGGCAAAAGGAAAAAGAATATGTAGATGGTCCCTGGGGCAATAGAGCTGGGGTGAAGAGGGCTACGCTGCCAGCTTTCCATGTTAGTTTTAGAGGTCAGTTCGAAAAGGTAGGAGTCAGGCATGAAGGACTTTTTTTCCTGCCAAGATACACTGTCAAGAAATCTTAGGAGACAGCAAGAAAAGGTGATTGATGTCTGTTTTTTTTTTTTTTTTTTTTTTTTTTTTTTCATAATATTTTTATTTTTGTAACATTGTTCCTAAGAAATTTAACTATTTCCATTGCCAGAAGTTTCTTTTTCATTTCTACATTTCAGCTTTATTCTTGTGTGAAACATCTGTAATGGAGGTAACATTCAGCTAAAGCAAAGTTTTGCAGGAATCCCTTGAAAGAACACTGTTCATTGAGGAAGCTACCCCCAGAGTGTGAAAATCTGAGGATTTACAAGATTAAATGCCAGGGCTCTGGATAAATTCTCCTCAAGTAACCAGGAAGGCACCCACTACCTTCCTTAAAAAGGTATGGGTTTAAGGCAAAGGTATTGCCATACAAAAGGCAACCTGTGTGCTGATATCCCCAAATTGCCACAGCTGATCCCTGCAAATTTCCTTTGGTGGAAAAGGTATGGAAATTGACAAGCAGGAATGTAATATTGCTTTATTATTCTGATTTTTCAGTGACAAATGCACAACAGCAGTATGTGTGAAGGGAACCTCAGACTCTCTGTGAAACAGGAGAGAGCTCAGAATATGATGTAGAGACCTTTTTCTCTTTTTTTTTTCAAGGGGCTGCTGGGATATGAACATGCCATTCTGGGGCAAACTAATTGCCTGTTCAGCAACTAAAAGCAAGATACCTTTGTTCTGTGAGTTACAATTCCCTAAAGTACACTGCAGTAGCAAAGTAGTAATTACAATGTAGCATGTCTTAAAAGAGCACCATTATAGATTTCATGAGGAAAAGGATAACTTAGGCATTTCTGTTCACTAGTTAAAGCAAAAGATTTAAAACATCTTCAGCATGTATGTTTTATGAATATAAAGTCGTGTTCATGGATATTTCTTATGTTAAAACCATGTTTGAAGCCTACTATTTTCAGACTGCTACCAGACCGGGTTATAAGCTATTTTGTGCTGCTGTCTACAGTCCAATAATCTAAAACACATTTTTAATTTCCCTTCCCTTCCCTTCCCTTCCCTTCCCTTCCCTTCCCTTCCCTTCCCTTCCCTTCCCTTCCCTTCCCTTCCCTTCCCTTCCCTTCCCTTCCCTTCCCTTCCCTTCCCTTCCCTTTCTCCAACAAAAATACTGTCTCAACAGAATGGAATGACTCCTGGATGAGGTGGCCAGTATAAATTAAAGCAGGGTCCTTGACTGAAGTGAATCACAATGAATGTTCAGAAAAGAATGGTGAAAAACAGAATTGTGAGGAGATGGAGGAAGCCAGGCAGCAAATACAAAAGAATATGGGAGTAATACGTTTCTGATGTGCAAAACAGAGTGAACATGGTTACAGCATTCTGGAAATTATAAACACCTTAGAGAGTTAAGACTACCTCATAAAAGGGATTAGGTCACTGCTTGGGGATTATTTATAAATTAGATTCTAATTAAAAGGTCAAAGAAAGATGAATATATGTTTTAATAAGCAGCTCTTTATTGCATAGTCCATACATCAATAAGTTGTTTATAATCACTTATTGATAGCTACAAGTGTGCTATAGTTATTTATTTAACTCATGAATACCATTGACAAATAGATGACAATTTTTTTTTTTTTTTTTTTTTTTTTTTTTTTTTTTACACAGTATAAAACTGCAGAAGGAAGCTGGAAAGAAGCAAGGTATAAATTAGGATTTTGACATTACTAATATGTAATTATGTGTATATAATATGTATATAATATGTTCTGGTTTTGACATCAGTAAATAAAGGTAACTTGCACAGCAAATATGCTGTGTTGAGTTACAGGTTTCATCTCTCCTAATAACTATGTAATTTTCTTAAGTCTCCATGGCACATACTTTTTGATTTTTTCATTAAAAAAATAATAATTGTTGGTCACATAACACATTATTAGAAGAATTGTAAAGAAGGAGGAGAGAGAAGCAATTTTAATAATGCCACAAATTATACTACTACTCCTGAATGTTTGTGTTGGATTTCATATGATGCATGAGAATCTGACGTGTCCTGTGGGGGCTAGTTTACATTTTTTAATGAAGGGTTACAGTACTCTGGACCAATAGTTTATTTAGTTTTGCACAAGTGAGGTAAATATTTATTAAACATTTGACTCATTGCATTTTGTGGAACCCTTGCACTCCAAACCTGTATGATTCACAGTATACCAAAAGCAAATATAATACCCCTAAATCATACCTGCGTATTAAAAGAAAATCTGTCAGTGCTTTTATTCCCAGCTCTTTACCTTGTATCACGCAAGAGAAAAAAGAAGCAAGCAAGAAAGCAGGCTGCTACTCAGAAATGAATTCACTGGGTTCTTTTGTTAGGAAGTGCTTGTCTGGATTGGCTAGGCAAATAATGAACTTGAGTAAACATGCTCTTGGTTTTTAGAACTTATAGCCCCTGATTTAAAAATAAATAAATAAATAATAATAATACTAATAAAATAACCACATATTACCTCTCTCTTGTGTGTGTGCGTGCTAGAAAGGTACATCAGATCAGTGGTGTATTCAGATTATATATCTGGTACCATGATTTCCTATATACAGCTTATATTTATATTGACTTTATTCCAAGACTTTAATTCTAAGACTTTATTCCAAGAGATGTCAGTGACAAGAGTGTACCTCAGCTGAAAGGTTATTTCAGAGACTGACCCACTCCCTGCTGGAGGTGCTAGATTCAGTAAAGGGTGCATGTGTCTCACTATTCCATTAAAAAACAAAAGTCACTAGGACACGTAAAAGGTGTCCCTTGATCCCATCAAAATTACAGGATTTTTGCTCCCATTGCTCCTAAAGACCTTTAAAGTAGACCTTGCTAAGCTTATGAGAGGCACTCACAAACTGCTTGTGCTCAGAACCCTGCACAGATTTCCAGAGTGACATTTCTGTGAAGTAAATTGGCAGCTACAGACATATTGTCTTTTTGCTTGTTTGCTTTCTGGTCTTCTTTGTCTCAAATTCTTCCCTGCACAGGGACATGATTCCACAATACATGAATGAAAATAAAAGTAGCTGATAACCTAGTGGTAATTTCAATATTTGAGGAGATGAGTTTGAATCCCTGTGTGCTAGACACACAAAAACTGTGGTCTTCCATCTCCTACTTCATCCATCTTTTAAATAAGCATGTATGCAATCTCATTTTGTGTTGAACTTGAACAGATTGTGCTATAGAAATACTTTCTTGAGACTCTCTCTAAACAAAAAGTACAGAGATTGTACAGTTCAAGTGGTCTGAAAGTTATGCAGTGTTAATCAGTTCTGTGCTTCTTAATTCTGTTTTCAAATTTGGCCATAGCTGTCTTTCTATTCACTTTTGTGACACTTGATTGATTTTGTTATTAACATTAGAAGTCCTGGGATCAGATATTTCTGTGTTGAACAGACATACATCAACACAATTCTACTGAAATGTACATTGATTTGCATCAGTGTTTTTAGTTTAGAAAAATGTTTACATTTGGGGGTTAACATCTCTCTATGTATATAAGATAGATAAAAATGTTATTTATATATATTTGCATTTTACTCTGATATAAATGAATGTATATCTTTATCTTTCTGATACGTGACATTTACTTATAGATCTGCAGTTACGTTCTGTCTCCAGACAAAAACTGTAAAGCCAGCTTTTCCTGAGTACAAGGAAATCCATCTTGAAACTTTAATTACAGAATAATCTATCAATGACAAATTACCAGAGGGTGGATATGTCACTCACAGTGTTGGCATGTAATTTCAGAGAACACAACTGAAATCACTGGAGATTAACAGATCTGAGTATTTGTTTGCACTTAACAGACAAAGGGAACATAACTGATATGAAGAAATTTCTGCATGGTTTCTATATTAAGAGATTAGTTGGAAATTTCTTCCCTCTTGAAGAAAAAGCAGGCACCAGAGTGAGTCTACATCTTTTGCAAAGTCAGTAGAAATTCTACTGAAACAAGTAATCACTTGACTACTAGCTTTTTTATTATTATTATTTTTTAATTGTGTAGGGGTTCATGAAGTCTCCACACTGGATGAATTCCTCAGCAGCTTTTTATTTGTCTAATGGAGACAGCTCTTGCAGCCTCATATCAGTTTCTCTTTTAAGAGTGTGTTTGACTGGAGAGGCTTCTGTGAGGATATGAGAAGTAAGGGTGTTTTTTTCTACAGTTATGTAATTTAAATAATGATTTTATATGTCTTGTAACTGATCGGGTGCATGTGCATTTTCAAAATAGTGGTTCTATGTAGAGTTCCTATATAACTGTCATTTGGGCTAAAGATTATGGTATATTCTGTAACAGGAAATGCACTGGCAAATATTGTACAACTATTTGTTGTAATGTTTTTCACTTAGCTGATTAGTAAAAGCTCTTAAAAAAATAAAAAATATAATAAAAAAATAAAATAAAAAATAATAAAAAAATAATAAAATAAAATAAAATAGAATTGTTCAGTCCCCAATTGTTCAATCCCCATGAAATTGGGATATGTTGTCCGTAGGTTATTATTATAAGGCCTGTATCAAGACAGATTTCAAATGGGATGTACAGGCTACCATTAGAAGTAAAAATTATTTTATTTGACTTCACTCAAATATATGAACTATGAATAATCTCAACATTAGGTCTTCCTGCTTAAGAGATAACACTGGCACAGTAAAAGTCTTGTTGAACAATGATTACCAGTTCTTTACTTCTTCTGTACAGAGCATAGTTTTAACTTTATCTCATCCAGGAAAGTCTCATAAATCAGGTGGAACAAAAATTACATCAGAACCATATGGAAATTTCATTTAATCTGAAGGTGATTTGCTTGCAGGACAGAAATCTATTATCCTGGGCTATACATGTACTCAGTTTCCTGATGCCCTCAGACAGGAGGGATACACATACTTTACAATCCTGTATGTTTTCTGGTCATTATTATTTATTTTTAATTTTTCTACTAGGTTTATTGACTTTATTTTTGATTTCCAGCTACCAACATTTTGCACATTTTTGACTCTTGAAAGGTATCCAGCATGTTCCGTCCTTAGAACATTAAGTCTCCAGTAAAAGCTCAGGAATTCACATCTACAGGTCACAGCTACAATTCTCTGTATAGATTAAATTGGACTACATTTCTTTCAGGAACTACTCTGAAGTCTTAACCCAAAGAAAACCATTTTGTCTCTATCATTTTCTTTTTTTAATGAACTCACTCATATTGTGCTTCTCTCTGTCTATTCATGATACCATCATCATCATCATCAATCATCATCATCATTTTACGTGAAAAAGACATAAGAATAAATGTTTGACATTTAGTATGTCGAAATTTTAGTATACAAAAAGTATGACATCTAATTAATTTAACTGTCTTAATCAATGACAGTGTTAATTGACAGGTCGTTGATTATACTGCTATTGGCTAGAATGTTCCAATCCAGCAGTCAGCTCTTAGTCTAGGCACATGTGCTGATTGAACTACTTGTCCACCAGTTTGACCACACATCCATGGTGAATTGCAAGACATGCCCTTTCTATTAGTCATAATTTATATGTAAAATCTGTGGAGTTAAAAGCAGGATAAAAGTGTAACACTTGATATTGGAGGAGTCAGTGATTATAGTGTGATGGTCATCTTTCTTCTTTGGTGTTTTATTTTGGTACTTTCCAAACTTAACTGAATGATAGACTTCATGAATTTCTTTCAAACAGTGATTGCTTCTTCCAACAGAGGAAGCAGAGTGCATCAAGAAGGTTATTCTGAAACTATCAGTCCTTCCAACTTGTATTCTTTTTATAATGGTGGACTGAATACCCTTCCTCATGGTTTTGAGTATCATTTATAATTCTTTGCTTTCAATACAGGGGTCATTTAACACCTGGTAAAAAATACTTGCCATGCTGCAGACATCTGAGAGGATGCCAACACAGCTGAGTCTTGCTAGAACTGCAAATGGGATGATTTATTTGTAAAGGTTTATATTCTTCTCTTGATAATTTCTCTCTCTCTTTTTTTTTCTTTCTTTTTCTTTTTTTTTCTTCCCTTTACTATGTATTTCAATGGCTGGAGACAAGCATATAAAGCCTTCTCATTGAGATTAAGTATAGGAGGAAAATAACCAAATCTGAGTAGCTCTCAATGCAATTTTATTCTTCCTGGAAAATCTTTTATTTACTAAATCCAGTTAAATGATTAGTTTTGGTGTGAGAGTTACTTTTCAATTACAGTATATTAATAATAGCCCATTTCTGTTACACATGACACTATAAAAAGTGTTTGATAATGATCTGACACTAATTTATTAATTAATTTTCTGGGAAAGAGCTTCCAAATGATGGCATTTTTCCATGGCGTGATGAACCTACATAATTGACCATCATTCTAGCTGTCTGTGGAACTCTTAACAGCAAGCTTTGTTATGCTCACTGGCTTTCTACTATTAAGAATTTTAATTTAACTATAAATAATATTGACAACACATATACTGAGAAGAATCAAATTAGAATTCTACATCAAAATAAAAACCTCAGAACAGTTATAAAACACCATCCAGTATAATCATTAACCAGGAACTAAATTGGGAAGATTATGGCTTCATGATTAAAGTATCTGAATTGGATATAATTACACTTATTAAGGAATGTAGAAACAATTTATAGATGAAAATGAAAACAAAACTAGCAGACAATACTAGTGGCCCTTTGGTATGCAAAAATGACACACTACTATTTTTAGTTAGTAGCATTCTCACAGTTTTTTGCTCTTCTTTAATAAAATGGAGTACAAAATGATGCCACATATTTCTTGGAATCAAGATCAGACTTGTAGGCTTAGGGTTTTCATAGCTTTTTTTGTTTTGTGGCAAACTTCTTAAGTTCACTTCTGCATTCAGAGATGGTTTTGTTTATTTAAAATATTAGTTTCAAAGACGAAAAAATTAAAAAGATATGGAAGCACCATACTGATTTTAGATGCACACTCTAACCATCTGTAGTGGGTTTACGTGGCAAGGTTTTGGTAGCAGTGGGCCATAGGGGTGGCTTCTGTGAGAACAATCTAGAAGCTGCCCCATGTTATGTAAGGGTCCCGCTGCTGGCCAGAGCCGAGCCAATAAGTGATGTTGTTTGCACCTCTGTGAGAGCATATTTAAGACAGAGACAAAAACGCTGAACCACACAGCAGCTGGGGGAGTGAGAGGAATGAGGAACAGCACTGAAGGCACCAAGGTCAGTGAAGAAGGAGGGGGGGAGGTGCTCCAGGCGCCGGAGCAGAAGTCCCCTGCGGCCTGTGGTGGGGACCATGGTGAAGCAGGATGTCCCCCTGCAGCCTATGGTGTACCACAGTGGAGCAGCCCATGGAGGAGACCATGGTGGAGCAGGTGGATGATGGAGGCTATAGCCTGTGGAATACCTCTGCTGGAGCAGATTCCAGGTCGGACCTGTAGCTCATGGAGAGGAGCCCACACAGGAGCAGGTAATCTGGCAGGAGCTGCTGCCCATGGGGGATCCACGTTGGAGCAGTTTGCTCCTGAAGGATGGACCCCGTGGTACGGACCCATATCTGGAGCAGTTATTGAAGAGCTGCTGCCTGTGGGAAGCCCATGCAGGATCAGTTCATCAAGGACTGCATCCCGTGGGAGGGACCTCACAGCACAGGGGCCGAGAGTGACCAAGAAGGAGCGGCGGCAAAGAAGTGCTACAGACTGACTGTAACCCCCATTCCCCTATTCCCCTGCACCACTCGGGGGGGAGGAGGTGGAAGAGGATGGATTGGGGGGAAGGTGCTTTTGGTTTCTTTCATTTGTTTCTCACTTCTCTAGCTTGTTAGTAATAAGCAATGTCTTACTATCTCCCTATGCTGTGTCTGTTTTGCCTGTCACGATAATTGTTGAGCGATATCCCTATCCTCATCTCAATTCTTGAGGACTTTTCATTGTATTTTCTCCCTGTTCCTCTCTGAGGAGGGGGAGTAAGAGAGCAGTTGTGGTGGAGCTCAGCCTCCCACCCGAGTAAAACCACCACACCATCATAAACAGCTAGCAGACGGATGCACATCTTACTCCACTTAGTTATCTCTATATGTAGGATGATCTTTGACTGCTGGATCTTCTAGGCTGGACTGCTTTCTATTTTAAACTTCTATTTTGAAACTGGTGGAGGAAGTAATGGTAGGATTGGCTTATGGGCAGCACAACTACACCTTTTACTTAGAGGTTTTTTTCCTTCTTGAGGAGCACAGCTGTATTTTTCTCTGTATATATATTTATTTTTTTTTTCTTTTCCTGGGAACTACTTCCTAAGAGAGTAACTTCAAACAGCTTATAGAAAAACACTAATTTTTGTGTCTGCCTGACTCTTTCAGCTGAGCAACTCCATGTTTTCCAGATAAAGCCAATAATTTCAGAGGATCTCATGTCTGTTCATCTGCACAACTCTTGAAGAGCACAGAGCTACTCTTTACTCATATGCCCTTCTGTTTATTTTCTGCAAGAACCTGACAGAATATTGCAACAATATGTAGCTGGGTTATCTGAGCATCCATGCAGAAGGTTCCCTGTGTTCCAGAAGGTTCCCTGGCACCATTCCTTTGTTGCTCTTCAACAATTCATTTTTATACCTAAGGTAGTCTACCACAAATTCAAGCACTCATGGCCTGATTTTAAAACATACTGAAACTTTATTTTTCCTTCTAGCTTCTACGAGGGCTTAGGAAGATTTGAAAATTCAAACTCTAGATAGCCTAAGCTGAAGATACAAAATTAGCAATGCAGATTATTTATTTATTTATCTATCTATTTATTTATTTTTGCCACAATGGACTTACCCAAGGTTAACAAGGGAGATGATGTTAGAGGCAGTATGTATTCGAAGATTGTCCTAAGAAAGATGTCATAGTTTGAGATCCAGGCATCTGGTCATCATTAACCATGGCTGTTCACACATGATATTTTACTTAGACTGAAGCAGGAGGCAGACAGTAATTTATATCCTGTAGTCAGTGAGAAAAAATCTGGTAAAATTATAACTGATCATGAATGGAAGTCTCTAGGAGGTTCAGCCTTTGGGTAAGGTCACTGAGGAGACAGATTTTAGAGGAAATCACACTCTGATGATTTTCCTGGCTTACAACACAAAGGTTCCACCTATGCTGATCAGACGAGAAGTAGTGTTAAGGCACCCTTTCCACAGAATGTCTGGTGGTATCTAAAGAGATTTTTCAACAAAGAGATTTTACAGTATTTATGTTAAGCTTGTTTGTGGTATTTTTTTGTTGTTATGTTTCAGCTCTGGCTCTATTGCATTTTCTGGAGGAGTAATTATAGCATTACTTCATTCAATTTCTAGTTGGCATTGTGAAATGTTCGATTAATAGCTGTCAAACAGTTAAATATCACAGCAAGAGTTTTCCTGTGTACTTCCCAAATTTTACCAAAGATTAAAACGTCATCACTATTGTTA